CCCCCCCTTGACTCGAAAGCTGGATCCGCCCCTGGTTAAGACTGAAATATGCAATATGAGTGAGTAACTACTCACCAAGTGGACAAAAGTGGACAATAATGATCAACTTTGACAATTGGTTAAGAACATTTTCAAAATATGTTGTAGGGACAAATAAAAAATAACTTCAACAGTGTGAAATTTATATCTTCTGAGCTCACAGACTTCAATAGGAACAAACAAAAGTTTGTTTTTGTTTGTTCCTATTGACTTGATGTTTTTGTTTATTCCATGGCAACATGTACCCGGTAGACTCGATTAAAATAAAAAGAAAATATTTTCAAAATGTTTCTGAATAGCTTAGAAACTGTGATTCTTGGGACTTGGGACACCTTACATAAAGTGCCCTAAAATTAGACGTTAAATTCGAAAATTGAAAAAAAAACTAGTGGGTTCCATTTGAAATGAGCACTTTATGAGGTTTAAAGACATGCAAGTTTAGAGGCTAATTGAGCAACTAACGGACATCTCTTTATGAATTAAAACATATCTGCAGGAAGACTATTAGGTCCTTTTAGAATGACAGAAGACTGTTTTCCAAATTTGCAGCGGGTAGAGTACAGCATCGATGTATGTGGAACCCAGCAGCTGTCAACATTTTCATAATTTACCGATTAATTCGAAAACCGTAAGTTTTTCAGATAAAATTTTCGAAATAAATTTACATTCGAATTTGACGATAAATCCGAAAGTCGCAAAAAATGGAGAGTTTCAATTAAAAAACCTTCGTTGGTTAATACCACACGTTTATACCGCACCCCGTTTACTCGAAAATAATTTTAAAATTCGCATCTCAGAAACACGAAAATCTTTCGAGGGAGATACTTTCCTCTAAAATTCATATTTTTTGAGATATCGCACATTGACGCACTGATGAGCAACAGCTACAGGGTAAAGGAAGCATTTTAATGGAAGCAAAAGTAATAATTGTTCTTCAATCAAACAAGTTTCTGTAAACGCATACACACTTCATTACAGATAGTTTTTTGATTGAATTTCGTCCAGTCTATACACACCAGCTTCTTCTTGTTGAAATAATTGTTCTGCTAATGCGACAAGAAACGTTACTAGCATTAAAAACCGAAATAAACAAAATTGCCACAATAGCAATAAACATCAATATTAATCGATGTAAAAACGCGTCCTAAAGGAAATCTCATAAACGAAAATACAACAAAACCTCACTTCCAATTCCAATGGTTCATTTATATTCTATTAACAGGGTGTTTTTTTACTTCAGATTTGGTTTGCTCTTGTTTCAACTTTGTTAAACCACGCATTTTGCAAATAAAGTTTATGCGAGCTCATTAATGACAAATTTGCGTATGCGAATCGGAACAGAAAATGTCTCTTTGACTTTTTTACTATGCGAAGCCCTATTTTCGAGTAAAAGAAGAATAGTAGAATATTAAACACCGAGGTAGGAAGCGTTTCATTACTGTCGAGAGATTAGTAGCTTACCGAGACGCGAAGCTATGATCTCCAGACAGGACTGGAACTTCCTACCGAGGTAATACTATTTTATTTACAACCATCATTGCATCTTTGATACGATCGATAAACGCTCAATTACAGACTTTTCAATTCTCTTGGTTTTTCGTATCAACAATATGTTTTCTACATTTAGCAGTTCTGTATACAGGGTGTCGGCCGAGGCATTCATGATAGTTCACATGTGAACTCTATGAACAATTTTAACCAAAAGATATTCTTTTTACTTTTCCTGAATTTTCAATGTTTTCTGAAATAATAGAGCTCCGAAGTCCACTGATTGCAAAAATGTACTTCACTCTTTAGCACCTACTGACATCTCGATATTTCCTGAACCGTTGAAAATTCGGGAAATGTCAAAAGAATGTCATGCGATTTATAGAAGTACCTATCTACCGAATCTCTCGGCTGGATTGTCAACAATTTTTGTGAACGGAATAATCAGTTTTAAAAGAATCTTTAGTCCATGCTGAATATTTAGCTTTTGCTTTTAATTTAAGTCGTTTGCTTCTCTGCAAGAATTTTTAATTCTTAAATATTTTCAGTCAATAATTTTTCAGTTCCCATTAGCAATTAAGTTGATTGAATGACATTTCTTGCACACACAAATTTGCAATTGAAAATGCAGTTTTAAATGGAATTTAAAACTTTATTTTTGTCCGCTTATCCTGAAATATCGATATTTTCAAACATTGTTCTATTTGTTAGATAATAGCTTATTTAATTGGCTTCAATTTGAAAGCAGAAACGAACTGATTCTTCAAGAAGAAGAAGACTTTTGACGCAGTTTATTTTGTAAAAATATAATTTCTGCTTTTGGAAGTTTTTGAGCATGCGGATATGATAATTGAAAAAATTTGAACATAACTAAAACATAGATTATTCTAAAAAATTAAATTGAAAAAAAAAGATAAATGTGTACCTAGTCAAAAAATGGCATTTTTGATTCAAAGACAATCTGTCTGTTTTGAAAGAGAGTCGAGTTAACGAAAGAAGGACGCTACAAAAGGCTTTCATCAATTAACTTCCTATAAGTGGGAATAATAAGTAATAATCATTAGAGGGGAAATGTACGCAATTCTTTGCAAATCTTTTCCTACTGATTAATTTGCAATTTTCGTAATACAACTTTGAGTGAACATGAAATGAAACTCAAACCAACTTTATTCATTGAAAATTCTAACTCTACATTTGAATAACTCTGATTGTGTTGAGTTGGGAATTATTTCCTCATTGCGTGAAGAAGCCAGCACGAAAAAATCTAAATGACTAGAAATAACCATTTGTTTCCTACAACTCGGTATTTATATTCCGATTCGAATCATGTCTAATATTAGAGGTATTTTCGCACCTCTCAGTCGGTCTCATCATTTCATTTGACTACCCGTTTTCAAAATGCAATTCGTTAGTCCAAATCAAATAAACTTCATATCATAAGCGTAAACCTGTTTTTAAAATCAGTTTAATTTTGTTCAATTTACCGCAGCAAATAAGAAATAGTGTTTTAATTAACAATGAACTTATATTTTAAGGAAATGTGTTTAACGGAAATTTTATTAATTTAAACAAACTCTAATTTCCCAACAAAAGATCCACCAGCAAAATAGGAAGAAATGTAATGCTTGTAAAAAAACTGTTTATTTTCCTTTGCTTGTTGCTTCCGCAAGTATTCTGCAGTGATGAAAACCGACTTACATTCGTCTTCATTGGTTTCACAAATTACAAATGTTTTGTGCAATGCCAAACAACAAAGTTTTTTTAGCAAATCGATCCACTAGGTACTTTTAATAAACACTAGATTTATATGCAATTTTTACATTTTTTATGATTTTAGCTGATCTACTTATGCAGTATGAATATTGTGCTGTTCGTGCTGTATAGAGGTAAAACTATGATGTGTAAACTGATATGAACATGTACTGATATGAGATGCAAAGTTTTGGAGCCACTCTTTGCTGACAAACAACGACTTTTTCTAAAGAGGATGATCGGAAATATAATGTCGTTATTTTTAAATAAATAATTAAATAAATCTGTTAAATATCGCGAGTAACGCGGATCACTACTGAAAAGTCGCATCGGGTACATAGGTTAAAGTTGGCGCGCGTTTGACCTGCGTCGACCTTTTTCATATCTAAAAATGTCCGGTTTCAAAATAGCCGGCACATTATCGTTTATGTGCTCTAGCAGTTATTTCCATACACATTTTTTATGATGCATGGCAACATCTGCTTGAACAAAGCAATCTAAAGCGAAAATTATTTCCTTAGTGAGGGTCATGTAAAAGAGAACTTAATTATATTTCAGAATTACACATTACAAAAAAAACCAGTTCTGCTTAGCTCAAGTAGTTGTAACCAAACATCACAGAATCTTCGATTTTTGAACTTACTTCAGAGTTTCTCACAGAGATGCCACTTTAGACAAAAAATAGTAGATATTTGTTGGAATTATTTGGAATTACTGAATTTGCCTTAATGCCTGAAATATTTTGGTGGTACAGATATAGTTAAATCACAGAGCAGATAAATTTTTCGACCCTTTGTCCAAATATTGGTCCTCTGTCTGTGTGAGAGCCAATTCAATGTTTTTGTTATTGCAAAAATGGTTCTTTTAATCAATTAAATAGTCACTACAGCCCGGAAAATATTCCTAAATGTAATCTGACCGACCGTGAAAGCCTTCATAGTCTGATAAATAGTCACTATTATTTGCCCGCCATCTTTTAGTGCTCTTTAGTAAAGTTTTCTAAATTTAGTATTTTCAATAACATTGAATTAATTCAAGATAAGTAAAATACAGGGACGAGTAAAATAATGAAAAAATCAATAATTAACTTAATAAATACGTTACTAGACTGATTGCAGATAAGGATCAGTTGAGGATTTAAACAAATATACCTACTTGTCGATTTAGATACGACTTAACATATAAAAATGCCACTTTCGTATCAGCTAAGGTGGTGTACACAGCAAAATATTTATATTTTAAAACAAATTTTGACAAATTTATAAATTGAACAAGTGTTAAGCATAGGAGGGTTTGGAAATTGTTTGACTCCTCATTAGAAACAAAATTTATAAAATAAAAATAAAAAAGTCAATAAATGAGAGACAAGCGAAACGAAAACTGGTAATAAAAACCTAATGTTAAGTTTGAGTCAAGTTTCCATAAATCTGCTTTTAAGACAATTTTCTTCAATTTTTGCGACAATTCCATATAGATATAAATGCAAATAACAAAAATATTGTACCTTCTATTGCATTACGTTCTGCTTTATTTTATTATTTTAACACTGACTAACAGGAATTAATGGCATGTTGATGTCAACTTAATTTTTTCCTAAAGTTCCAAAATTTAATAAAGCAATCTAATATGAAATTAGTAATCTTTCAATTCAGGTTAGACATTGCAATGTGCTAAAGAAATTCATTTAAAAAAATCCACTGCATAATTCGGATTGATGATACTGCACTACTTCTCTACTAGTAGAACGTCCACGAAAGCCGCACAACGCAGGTAAATCCACCACATACTGACATTTGCACCTTGGGTACTCTTATCTTGCTATACAGGTCATGACTTATCACTAACTTTCTTATCTATGGCGTAAAGGTTAGGAGGTTTATTTGTTGTTAAACGATTAATGAAATAAAAAGTCCATAGGTATTTAACTATTTTGCATTGATAAAGCGCTCATATCACTCAAAGGGGTCGAAAAGATAATCGAAATTAAGTTTGATGTATGGAGTGTGCCAATTAAATTGCATTAAAAGATACTAAATAAATTCTTTGATATAATATTTTAGTTTCGAAATAAAACTTTTTGGAAAAACCCTCGTATAGGTCAATTAACTTGGAAGATTTTGCAGGAAAGTTGCAAAAAAAGTTACCAAAAATCTGTCAGGAGAATGACAATAATTTCATGTTCAAGCAGTTTGAACCGCGATAAGCATTTGAAAGCATAAAGAAACGACAAGGCGTTTTTTTAACGTGGAAACTTTTTGTGACTGTCACTTTTGACGATTGTTTTCTTTTCATTCTTCATTACGGGAGAAAGCACAGGCGCATTAGTGATATTCAGATGTTATTGAATTTTGATTTTTGGGAAGAAACTCGAGTAAATACTGATAAAGGATTCTTGGAAAATTGATGGGAAATTCATGGGAAATTGACGCAGATACGTTTTTCTGAGCATGTGAAATATACACGTGTAGCATATAGCTAGATAGATAGATAACATTTATTCAAGTCAGAAGTCAGATGTTCGGCGGGTCGCTCCCTTTGCCATGATCTAAATAGGCGCGCTAAGTCGTTTTGGCAGTGCCCTAACATGGATATTCTCCAGCCAGCTATACGCACGACAACGTCAGGAGATAATCTTGAAGTGGCGGTTTTGGTTTTATTCGAGGGGCACTTAATAAGGCAAAAAAGTCTTCCTGAAGGGAAGCCAAAAATCCCTTTTACTTCGAGCTTTAATCTTGATAATGTCAGCCGTGACGCAAACCGCTGGCAGTCTCGGTCAGTAGCTGGCTTACGCCGCGCCCCCTCTCTATCGACGGTGCAAAGACCAGCCAGCACCGACCAGAGCAAGAGAGCACGAATCCGACCAGTTACGTGTCGTTGGTTTGACGCCACGTTTTGTTAGGGAACAAAATCCTCATAAAATATGGAAAGCCGCTTGTACAGGGGACCATGGGTAGGGCGTGAGTTTGCTCTAACTTGTGTGAGTTTTAGCGTGAGGACAGAGCCTTGCACTCCGCTATGATAGAATTTGTCAGATATGGTATCTACAGAGTTGGCTATATAGTCATGCTCTATATAGCCATACTCTATATGGCCAACTATATAGGTATCTATACAGGGTGTCCGTTTTTGGAGTTCAGCCATGGGGATCTCGTTTACCATACTAGATACGAGATTGGTTAAATTGGGGCAAAGTTGCGCAGTCTAGAGCTTACTAAAATGCTCGTTGAAATTAAAAAAAATGTCTTCCACTTCCGGAGCTATCCGGAAAAAAATTTAATTCGAACATTTAAAAAAAATTTTTCTCCTTAGCTTATTTGATGCGAAAATTTAAAATGAATAATACTTCATCATTGCAACTTTTTCTCTTTTACAATCTGATATCTCTTCTACATCAACATTATTTTTTCTTATGGGCGCCATCTTGGATTTTTACATGTTTGAATTCAGTTGTTTCTGCTGATTACCATGATGTATCATATGTTAAAGTTGAGTCCTGATGGTATGTGAAAATAACACAAATCTCCGGTTTTTGCAAAGAAAGTTTGTTTAATGAACATATTTTAGACACCAGAATTTTAATTTTATTTAATTTTTTTTTAAATTTTAACCACCACCACCACTTTTATTCAAGTTTCGCTTTCGGCATCAGAACTACTCGAATTTCCTCACTCATGTTGTTATGTCTGAATCGAATTTTCAATTCTCTATCATCATAGGGTTCATTTCATTTTCATTAAATAAATAAACAAAAACCAACACAAACACACAAAAATAAAAAGAATTTCTAAAATCCAGTTATATCTAAGCAAAAGACTCCAGTCTTCTTTGAGTTGGATAAATTCTCAGTTTATAATCAATCATCGTTTTCGACAGCCTCAACCTAAAAGTGAAAAAATAATAATACAGCGCTATACAGTGTACAGTTTAAGATGATGTATGGAGTATTCAAATGTTCAATATATACAAAACTGTTAGTATTATATAGTTTGATTACGTTCTTGTTCACCAAACGCCAAAGATGTCTGTTAGAAATCTTTATTTTCTTTGCTCGACTCATTTTATTGGCCTCAAATAATATTCATAAGCCTTTTAGTACATAAATGAACTGAACAACTCGAAATGAGAACAGCATAACATCGTTCACATGGTCTAAGTTAGAGCTAATTTAGTTAAATTGACTTACCTATACTAAAGTTTCTACAAACAAAAAATATAGGTACTTACCAATATATTATCACTTATTTTGCCGAACCACTCAAGTATTCTAATAATGAAAAATTAAATAATATAACCTCCCAAATAATGTGTTGTTCGGAGAAACGATAGTGGTTATGTTTCATAAGATAATAAATGCCATGCGCGATGGGAACCGGTAGAACCATGAATCTCATGTGCGCTAAAGACGTTGATATGTTACATTTGTGCAATATAACTACACATTTGAAACGTTTCAGTCATGTTTCATGTTTATCGGGCAGCATTTGTCATCAAGTCCACCATCTGACCATTTTTTGCTCTCAGTTTACGTCTTCACTACCATCATCATATGCGTTTTTTTTATGTGATCATGTTTGTTCAAAAGTTTTATATTTTAATTTAGTATTTTCTATTGTATATTTGCTTCGAGCAGTACGCAATTATGTTTTCAACAGTTTCTTAAATTAATATTGCAAACATGTACTGTAAATTTATTTTCTTTCAGTTGTTTTTTTATATTGTTCTATTGGGAAACCTCTTTGTTAATCTCAATTATTACAATATTATTCTTTAACAGACGAGATAGTTGGTGAATATGTTAATGATTATTAGTTAATATTTAAATAATCGCTTAACAATCCAACAATAGTTTGAATGAAATTTAGATAAATATCTTACATTGTAAGAGAAAGGATTCAATTAAGTAAAAGTCCTATATAAAACCTAACTGTATTCAGATCGATAAAATATATTAGCCATCGTTTAATTCAGGTTATTCTGGTTATCTTTCCAAAAATGTAGATAATTAAATTTACAGTTTTTGCTTTTGTTGGTTATTCTCCAACTTGTTTCCTCACCTTTCTATTATGATATGAATCTATTTGTATGATACTGAAAGATACCGCTGCCTATATTCCGATACTGGCCGTCCCTGTTTTGAACATAAATAATTAAACAACAAACTTCAACGGTGTTGCACAAACAAAATTTCGAAAGGAAAATTTAATAATTTCGTCGCGTAGTCAATATTACGTATTTGCACTTAAAATTTGTCGAATAAGTGGTGAAACAACGTATTTACAACAGGAAATTCAAAGGCATGTTGGAAATGCTTTCAGAACTTGTAAGGTATTTGCTCGGCAGATCAAATAATGCACTTAATTACAAACTGCAGAATCGATGAGTTGGAAGCTGAAGGCAAGGCAGTGAAATCCATAATATTATTATTAATTCTACATGCCTAGAAACATAATTTGTGAATGACGACATGTGCGCTGAGATTCGTGTAAACAGGTCGATGTATCTGAGCAAAAATTTATTTAAATTTTAAAAAATTGTATTTCGGTCTACCTCCAGTCTAGCTCAATTCTCTGTTCGTTTCATCATAATCCCCTTTAGCATCATAGTTCAAGTGACATTTTTTTTCGCCTCTCACAAATATTTAGGAAAACCTTTGTCAGTCGCTTCCGGTTTTCAAAATAAGCGTAATGAAAGCTGACCTTTTAACTCTAAGAAAAGACATACAGGAAGATCATAATATACAGTATATAGCATATTTGCGTTTGTAATTGTTGAATAACAGGAAAAAATATCGCTCACCATTATGCAATTCAGTCCAGTGTAACTCTTTCGCCTGTTTGTACAGAATATTATTTAGTATTGTATGATTTTATTTCATTCAATTTTGCATCATTTGTTCAATCTAATTATAGCCCAAACTTTGTTTTCTATGCGACCAGATTTTGGTAAAAATCTGCCATATTTATGGATTTTAATAGATAGAAACAGAAACAAATATAAAAGTTATTAGATATTTATTAACTATACAAAATAAAAAAATTGTAGATTGCAGTTCAATTAAATATGCAATAATTGCAGGCTGAAATGCTAAGTGAATGAGGAGTATTTCATCAGATACATTATGATTGATATAATTTCCTTAAGTAGATCAGCAATTAGGACGTAGTTTCTATGTACTAACAATTGAGGAAAAATGGTTGGCTATACGAATATATATTGGTAAAGTGAAAGTAAAATGCAGCGGAATTCTTGGACAACACGGCGAACGAATAATGCGGAGGAGTGGGCTTTGCCCACAAAATCCAACAGGACAAACAATACATTTAGAAGAGAATAATACAAATTTATCAAAACTTCTCATTTGCAACAATAGCAATTTTTTTTCGTCCCCGATGTAACATTTTCTCTATCATTCCCAACCGTCAAAAATAGTTTTCCCTTGATAAAATATGCTATACTTTTTTCTAACGTTTCCCATTTTTGAGTGTCTTAAACGGAAAATCCAGATTGCAAACTCGCGTACGCCCAATACGTTTCCGCTAGTGTTTTTTTATGTATATATTTTTCACCCCGTGCCTTAAACAAATGACGATCATCCATATCTTTCACTCTTCCCCGTATTTCGTCGGCAATTTACGACCGCCCCATTGTTTGTTATTATTTTATTTGGGGTTTCACTTTGGGTTATAACAATGCATTTATCATTGTTCTTTTGGAAATGGTGTCGCCGGGAATTAGTTCGTTCTGTCGAGACTTTACTTCTTCGAAGATGTTTCTTTTTATCTCTAAGTTGTTACTTATTTATTATGTGTTTGCTTTGGGGTGTGTCTTAGCACCGTTTCCCGAAAGGGCAGAATTTTATTTTTTAATAAGAGATTTGAAGTTGTATTTTTGGACTTGTTTGTGACATGTGAATGGTTTGAACTAGGGATGGGACATCGATCCTATAACATCGATGGTAGCCATCGATGTTGATATCGAAAGGTAATATCAATGTTAGAGAAATTCGAAGGCAGAACATCGATGTTCTGATAGTTTGCCGTTGCATACAAATTTAAAATTGATTACCTTAAACTTAAAATCATATTATCGTTTTTATCATCTATGCTTATTTTTTGCCTCCTAGTTGAGCCTCCTGAACGCGCATTCGAGAACTGCAGTGAACAGTTTCGGAGATACCGTGTCTCCTTGCCTTGCTCCTCTGCCAATTGGGACATGTTCGGTCCTTTCGTGTAGGTTTACCACCATGGTTGCGTTTTTATAGATGTTGTAGATTCATTTTGTATATCTATAGTTAAAGCGACATTCTTGTAGTGTCTCCAAAACAGGACAGAAAACAAAACAAAAGCCAGAGACAGCGGTCGGTTCTATTCTATAAACTTCTCAATCAGCACCCTCACAGCTTGTAAGATTGGCTCCGAAACCGCCAGGCTGGTAGAAGTCCAGTTTGGTTTCTAGTCTAGTTGTTATTATTTTTGTGAAGAGTTTATAAAGGTGATTTAAAAGGTCCATCGGTCCCTAGTTCTCTAAATCGGTTATGCCCCCCTTCTTGTGTAGCAGTATCATAATAGCAAATTTAAGTAGATTAAACAGGGTCTCTATCTTCTTGAGCAAACAAGACCCACCGATGTTAATTGCAGCCGTAACCACAGAATCCTATCCAGGTGGTTTGTTATTCTGTGTCCATCTCAGAACAAATTTGAGTTCGTCTAAGGAGATATCTGTATATATCTGGACTCTTTGTTGCCTTGGTTTATAATACCTTTCCTTGCTGATAGCGTGTCCGGTTCTTGATTGACATCCTCCCTACAGTTCTTATACAACATCCTATAAAAGTCTTCCACGCCCTCAATATATCTTCTCTGTTTGCTGTTGTATTTCGTTGTATATTTTTAATTTCGGATATTTATTTTCTTCCGCATATCATTCTTTTGCGCAAGATTCTGTTTTTGTTTTTTGTTCTGCCTATGGTTTTTTCGATTTTGTTTCTGTTGTAAGTTCTGATATATCTTCTTATGGCTTTAGATATTTCCTTGTTTATCTCTCCCATCCTTCATGCCTGCGCTGGTGATCGATTCTTGACTTCTCATGTCCCTTCATTGCATTTGCAATTTTTCTTAAAAAAGCTGTTCTTTTGAAATGAGTTTGTTCCAGCAAGAATCCCAGCAATGCCTCGCCTCGTTAATTTCTGCCTTCAAGCTCAAAATTTTCTAATGAGATCTCAGTTTCCTTGGTTCTTGGTCCCATTTTAGCACTAAAAACTCCGCGCAAAATAGTGAAGTGTGCACGTTTTTCTTTAAAGGCCAGGGTGGTATTATCATAGAAACTATCTATTTGATCTTCAGAATGACTTGACGTTGATGCAGACACCTGTATAACTGTAATGTTGTATCTTGCGCTGAGCTTTAGGGTCATATATATCACTTTTGTGCACACTGCCTTTGCAGACACGAGGTTTTTGCAGTGGCGTCTGTGTATTAAACAGCCTGTTCTTCCTATATAGCTGTCGGCCTCGCCTACATAGTAGAGTCCATGCCCAGATTTTAGGCTCATGTATTGTTCGCCTCGTCTTCTTGCCTCCCACAATCCAAAAAGATCCCACTTAATTTCGTCTTGCTCCATTTCCGTTTCAATTAGTCTTTCATCTGTCAATAATGTACGCGCATTTATTCAGTCTTCAATGTTTTTTGCAAGTTTCCAATGTTTTGTCCCCTCCAGAATCCTTTGGACAGACCGGTTTTACACCGGCGGGAGATTCTGCATACATTTTCCTACTCGCCTGGGATATTCGAAGTTTTGTAACTGGCACCTTATAAGGAGGTTTTTAGCCATAACACACACCACACTGGCTAGACGCGTTGCTGCGTGTTAACTCAGCCGCTCATTTTGGATCAGACGCTGTTAATTTGTTAGTTTTGGTCCGCCTCGAGTATTTTATTTATCGGTACAACCCATAATCGGGGAGCGTGCTCCTATCCGCCACCTGGGGAAGCGTCGGATAGGGGACTAGCAACTCCAGCACGGAAAGATCTTGGATCGAATTTTATATGCAGTGCTAATGAGAGAGATTGCTCGGTAATTGCTGGACTTTTTTTATCCCCTTTCTTGTGTCTAGAGACGATTATACTCTCCCTCCGTTCAATTGGTATTATTTCTTCTTTCCATGAGGCGAGCTTCTTTAAGATGAGCATGTGCAGGTGTCTGTGCAATGCGCCTCTCCATTTTCCATTCATTACGAAGGAATCATATAATTTCCGGGGGCTTTAATGTTTTTAAGCTTGTTTGTAACTTTTATTACCAATGAATGAGAAATCTTTTATATGCGATTCTGCCGACAGGTATTTTGACGAGCTATAACCATCGACATTGTTATTGTTTATGTTTAAAAGTGTGTCGAAATTTTGTTTCCAATCTCTAATCAAATCATTTTTGTCGCTTGTTAAATTGTATTCCTTTCTGACCATTGCATTCCCTCAATTGACAATTTTTGATAAAACTCTCTTGACGTTTTTCTAGGCTTTGTTCCAGATCTTTGTGTTTCTGCAGCTCATGATTTTCCTTTTTCGTTCTCAACACTTTTTTGTTTCAGTTCTTAACTCTCTATACCGTTCTCTGTTGGGTTCTGTCAGGTCATGCAGCATTATCTTTCGAGCTTGATTGGGAAGTTCCAGTACTCTCCTGCACTCCCCATCAAACCATTCTTACTGTTTAACTTTTGGCTTCGTTCCTAGCGTGATATTTGCTGCACTCTTTTTACAGCATCCTTGATATGTGTCCAAGAGTACTCCACTTCCTCTCGTTGTTCAATTGATCCCCCAGTGGATTGCTTATATGGTCGGGGTATGCTTCTTTATGGATCGATTCGCGTAGTTTTCCAACATCCCATCTTATTGTTGAAGCGGTCTTTTCTTTTCTTGTACGCGGTGTTCGCTCCGTAACATTAGCATGCACCAGGAAATAGTCAGTGTCTCCATCTAATCCTCTAAGACTTCTTACACCATGATGTTTTTTCCGTGTCTAGCATCAATCAAAATGTGGTCAACCTGGTTCCTTGCAATTCCGTTATTTTACGCTCATGTTTGTTTATTATTTTATTTATTATTTGTTTGTATATTATTTTATTATGATCAAATATCGTATATTTTACCATCCTACTGCTTACCATTACCAGCTGCTGCCAGACCGTCCAGTCTCAACCCATTATCATTTGATATGTCATGAAGACTGTGATGGCCAACCTGCGGTTTCAGGAAATTTCCTTTACCAATCTTAGCATTAAAGTCACCACATAATACAAGTCGGTCCTGTTTCGGTACACTTGCAATTACTGCTTCCAAACCATTGTACGCCTGCGTAATCATGTTCTTCGGTTGTTGAGTACGCTGATATGAAGGAATGGTTGTACCAATTGCATTTAAAACGGATCTAGCAAATGCGTTCACCCATTGGTTTAAATGCGGTGAGAGGATCCACGAGACGGTCTGCCACTACAAATCCCGTGCCGAACTTATGCCTGTTTTGTTGGCTGCCACTGAAGTAGACCATGGACCTGCTAATTGTTACACTTCCAGATTCCGACCACCTTACTTCCAGAATAGCTGTAATGTAAATTTTGCTCTTTTCCAGTTTCTTTATACCAGTCAATATACCAGGGTCCCAGGCCTATATCAGCTCAATATGTTCTATGTTTTTATATTCATATTCCATTTTCGTTGCTTGGGTCGTTTTGTTCTGTCTTATTCCGAAGCTGTTTTCCAGTTGTCATAACGATGAATTTTGTTTCGATAATTTAGAGACTGAGAATTATTTTATATGTAATTTCTCTAAAAACACAACTTATGCATGCAAAATCCAGTTCAAGCTAACAAGTGGCGTCTTCAACTGTAAGATCGCGCAAAGAGACGCAACTGACTCTGATAACATCGGAACTTTTGGTCTGGGTGCAAGAAATCACAGAGGAGAAATGTTGTACCTCTTAAATAAAGATAATTTATTTTGCCTTAACACTCTTTTCAACAAACACGTACAAAAAAAGTTGATTTCGAAAAGCCCCCACGGAAACACAAAAAAGAGATCGAGTACATTCTCGCAAACAACGAAACGAAAAATATGCAGAGATGATTTAGTGCTGATCCGGTTTGACACGGGCAACGATCACAGGCTGGTAAAGGCTGCTCTTAGTTTTAAGCTGAAGAGCGAAAGCAACAAACTGATACACAAAACCAAATCTCCAACAGCTGAGGAACTTGAACAAAGAGAAGAGGAGTACTAAATAGAGCTGGCAACAAAGGTGGGTTCAGTTGTTCAAACCACAAAATTACCAATGACATCTACACCCCGGACAAGAAGATTTGCTCGAAACAAAGGAACAGGATTGATCCCAAGTCGAGTCAAGATACTTTGAGGCTTATGGAGCAAAGGAGAAATACTTGCAGGGGTACACCAGCCTATATAGAGTTAAACAGAAGGATGCGGATGACGAAAAGGTTAGGAAATACACCCGAGCATACAACACCAACATTATGGAAAACACGCTTGAGAATAACGCAAATATGAGGGTATTAAAATTAAAACTATCCGCAGGCAGTCGTAAGATCACAAAAATAAATGACCAACAAGGTAATGTACTTTCGGACATCAAGAGTATTGTAGATAAGTTCGATATTGTTGATGCGGGTTCATGTTTTCACGAACTGTTTGTTGGGTATTTCGTCTAAAAAAAATTGGTCTTAAAAAAAGTCAGAATTTCCTCACGACAGTTTGATAAACAGTGCTCTGATCTCGCAATAAGAATTATCAAGAACTATCACCTAGAGGCTATCCTGCGGTCCACTTAGGCTCAAACTGTAAGCACAATTTTTTAATATACTCTTTTTTAGGTTTAGTTAAGTTCTTTTCATAACTATTCATGACATGCCCATTTTTTAAATTCATTTCTTCACTAATTGTAATTTTCTCTTTACTAATTGGAGTCTCGAAATAATTGCGAGATAATAGCACTGTTTATCAATCTGTAATAAAAGGACCAGAGACAAGTAATAAACGTTATTACTTGTTTCTGAGTGCGACTGTATGCAATGTGGGATCTGAAGATATTCCACATATTTCGACAAGAAATAAAGGCTGCTCTGAGCAAATGGAAAAACCGAAAAAGCCGAGGAGAGGATAGAATGACTTGTGAAATGCTTAAATTAGAAGCTAAAGAACTCGAAAGACCTCTACAGATTCTTCTAAATAAATGCTTTAAGACAGCCAAATTATGGATAGATGATATCGATGGTAGCACGCAGAAGTTTTTATGCGGTTTAAAAAACGGGATAGCGGTAATATCGAGAATTACCGGTCAATTAGCCTTTTGTATCACATGTACAAGTTACTCACCAAAATTGTCACCAATAGGCTGAGTCTGTGCCAGCCTGTGGAGCAAGAGAGGTTTGGAAAGGGGTTCACTACCATAGACCATTTACAAACTATGAAAATACTAATAGAAAAATCAATCGAGTACAATGTACCACTGTATTTATGGATTTGCATAAAGCGTTCGATTCCATTGAGACGTGGTCATTCACACAAGCAATGGACCATGCGGGAATCGATTCTCGCTACACAAACTTACTGAAAAATACAGGATGATTCAAATTTGGTGTCATTCCTTTTAAGAGGGAATAGGGGCTCACTTGCAGAGAACGAAAAAAATAATAAAAACATTTTTTTTGAAAATTTCTAGAAGATATTAAGAATTGAAAATCGAATATCAACTTTGCTATTAAGCATTATTTTTAAATGGTTTGATCTTTCAATGATTCAATTCATGATTTCAATTCATGGATTCAAGGCCTATTGGTCTACTGGTCTTAATCGTTCGTAATGAAAAATTGCGGTCTTTACTTCAAATAAAAAAAAAATTGATATTAAAAAAGGCCTCTTCTACAATTTTTTGATGAAACGTCAAATCGGCAATGATGTTTTTTGTCATTAACAGGAGACTGACTAACTAATACTAACAAGCATTTGTCAAAATGTGGCTTTTTTTGAAGCTACTTTCACAAAATTTAAACCAACATCGAGTTTGCGAATATGCGATTACTTTTATGAAAATGCCACATTAACATAGCAGCAGTTGTCCAGGATCCATCGAGGAAGATAGTGGGAGACAAGAGCTGTCCGGGATCCAGACACACAGGAATCTACCTACGCATTGCAGATAATTGCAGGAGAGTCTTCCAGGGGTACTCGAAAGCATTGCACAACAACTGACACTTTCCCAGGCTTACGTATGTAAGATGCGCAGGGCACAAGTCCACATTAAACCAATAGTTGACTGAACATCGGTACAAACTGAGCAAGAGTTAATTAACCGAATACGATTCCACAAGCACTAACAGAACTGTATTTGTATACACATCAATTTGACGTTACGATGACAACAAAGAACAATTTCTAGTTGCAAATTTGACGTTTTGAAAAAAAGTAGATCTCTACATTTAACGAATCATGTTGAACTTACCGTTTATCCTTATCTATTTTATTGTCACTTTCTCTATTTTTCCATGGGAAGTTTTTAATAATTACGCAGAAACAGGTTTTTACATAAATTTAATTTGGCAGATTACCATCAAAAA